GTGGTAGTGGTAGTGGTAGTGGTAGTGGTAGTGGTAGTGGTAGTGGTAGTGGTAGTGGTAGTGGTAGTGGTAGTAGTAGTAGTAGTAGTAGTCGCAGCAGCAGCAGGTTATCTAACTTCCACAGCTCATCTAGCTTCTGAGTCACTGCCACCAGCTGTTCAGAAAGCAAATGAACATTCATACAAAAGTACATACTTAATCTTTCGCCAGATCTTTCGCCAAAAAAAAATATACTTTCGCCAACTCGAGAAAAAACTTTCGCCAAATGAGATTTTGATATGTTCCGGGTCATCGTCATACACACTACTGACTAGGACCTTTAGATCGACAACCATATATATTTCAAAAAAACACAACCCCTGTGCTTCAGCCACTTGGCAAGGGGTCACCACATATAGAACGTATGGGCTTGAAATGGCTTGAACTTGTCTTGGAAACCTCCACAGCAGTATGCTATCGGCTATGGGCTATAGTTTTGCCCTAGGCTTCCTGGCCCACCATTCATTTAATAGCCTGAATCTCGTTCTATACTATTTTAAACATCTCATATGGTAAGGTCAGAATCCTTGATTTCAAAAAATAAAAAAAGTCAAACAATGTCAAATGGAAGAGTCAAAGTCAAACAAAAGTCAAATTGGTAAGTCAAAAAAAAACGAACAAAGTCAAACAAAGCAAACATAGACCACAGCTCGGAAAAGTCAAAAGACATGTCAAACAAGTCGGAAACAAGTCAACCAACAAAGTCAACATCAAAAAACAACTCGAAAACATCCAACACGTAGATTTAAAAGAACACTAAACAATAACAACCACTCGAAAAAAGTAAAAAAAACAAAACGTTGAAAAACAGCATGCAACAAAAAAGTCAAAAAACACATACAAGGTCTAACAAAAAGTCGGCTCTGTGCAAATTGTGTTTATTTGACTTGTTGTTTGACTTTGACTTTTGATTGACTTTTTTGTGACTTTGTTTGTCTTTTTTAAGTTTTGAAAACAGGCTCTCTCCAATGAACGATTTTTATAATTCCACTAAGGATTTTGCACTACGGAACCAGGTCAGCCAAACTCTTTTGATGGTCGAACAAAAGGCGAACTAGGGATCTATAGGGTTTGAACTTGAGTCTTCCTCAAGTGGTGCTATCTATAGGAAAGGTGTCATCCATTAAAGCACCTTCTATAGGGACCTATAGGGTTTGTCTCAATCTTCAGAAAGGTGCTTTGATGGATGACACGCCAACGATTACGATGATCACATCGAAGTGACGTTGTCACCAGCTACGTACTCGAACATGGTCTTCGTCTTCGGGCCCACTTCCATGCATTCCATGTTCTGAATGTAGTGGTTGTAGTCATGACTGAGTCATTTACACTTACAATTACCATATCTGCAGTTGATAGAAGGTCAGCAAACATGGGGGCCTTGTTCGACCCTCTGCGCGTCGAAAGCCGCGGCAAACACCATCCCTCCTGCGCCGCTTCTTCAAGCGTTCGCGCAGCTCCTTCGGTTGCCGAAGGAAGCCAAACGGCTTTGGGACGGTGCACAGCTGGGCAAGCTGGTGTGGACATTAACAGGACGCTTCAAAGGTCCAGGGCTGACTCCCGAGCCGCTGAATGATTGGAAGATTGAGGTGTGCATGTGTGATGTGTGTGTGTTCTTCTTCTTTTATACGAACACACTCCACCCTGGTCTTGTTCAAAGGGCTTGCCGCTTGTTCCCCGAAAGGTTTTGTAGGTGATTCACTTTTCCTGGGGAGGAGATGGTAGGATGGGTCTCTCCACAGCTGGTCACTCTCCAACCAAACTGGTCCAACGACATGATTAGGAAGAATAGAGGGGTTGGTTTGCACCAAATTGAATACACTTGGGAATACCGATCCTCTCCTTGAGGATACCGACGCATCCCTCCGTGTTCCCATCCGTCCCAAAGCCCAGGATGGCCCAACCACCGGTAACCGTTCGTTTGGGTCTGGGTCCAGGTACCTGGATGTGCCCGGTTCCAGCGGGACTGGGCACATCTTCGCCAGGTCCGGGGATGAAGGGGATTCATATGGATTCATCATCTTTCTATAAGGGACCAGTAAAAAAACAAATAAAACGAACATCCACCCAGGTCTGAGCAACATCAGTTCCTGAAGATGTGTGTAAACCATGTCTCATATAGGCTTCTTCACCGGACCGAAACCATCCTGTTTCAACAGGTTCGAAGACCAAACGGAAAAGGCCCTGGTGGACTTTGGATTTCGTTGGACTCTCCCAGTCCAATTTATAGCTGACTACGCCATTTCGATCGACTTCGATGATTTGAAGATGTTTTTCCACGGTTCACGTTGAGTGGGGAAAATGGCGGATCTCCCAAAGGAGGTTTTATAGGCATTGTATTTGTCTTGATTGGACCTCTGATCTTCCAGCAAGGCAGGCGCATTCGCCGCCGCAACCATCGTGCGCGTGCTTCGGCGCGTATCGTCGACCTTCGCCTGGACCAGACGGGGCTCGGACTTACCACGATCTTTTAAATACCAACAGAGGTTGAAAGACCTTATAGGATCCTGTAGTGGTACATATGGGATGGGCTATAGGGTTCTTCAACCGGTATATCTCGACTCCGATCTCTTGACTCCATATCTTGTCATCCCAAATGAGAATCTGCTCAAAAGGCGTGGGTGATTCTTTTTGGCCTGGGTGAGTCTATCCCATTGCCAGGGCCCAGTGGATGATGATGGGGCCTTGTTCAAAGCCTTTTCATTTCTAAACATCGTGATGAGAATTATATATTTGCTCCTTAATTTGTTGTCTTTGTCTTTGGATTTCTACATGAATTCTACGTTACTTTTGCATATTCCATCCACTCACATGGACAGCTACTCTCTCTCTTTTTTGCTTCACCCTATGCCAAACTCACAAAAAGTGACACCAAAATCATGCACAAACGTCATGAGCGAGCCAAATACTCCCTTGTCCAAAGATGTCCAAAGCCTAGAAACCAGTTACCCCTGTTGCCCCCAAATCCAGGGTAATCTGTCCCACCAATAAAGCTCCCTTCCTCTTGAGACTCCGATTTCGCCGCCCCACCTGCAACGAGGTGGGAAGGCTTAAGATCCCTCGATCTCATCCTCCTCGAAGTCGTAGGTGTCATCTTCATGTCGAACAGAGCAAAATCCCGCGGTGAAGACCAGAAGAACGACCTCTGTCTACGAACCGGTGTGTCTACGAACCGGTCGGAACCGGCGACGGAAGAAGGGAAAGAACTTGGAAGACGGGAAGATGTGTTTGATAGGTTTGGGTTTCTTGGATTGCCTGAAGGACCTGGAAACAAAAGACGCATGTCACTGACATCATGTTTTATGTCAGGGGATTCACCCTATATTGGGAAACTATAGAATCATCACCATGAAACTGCCTAAACCGGCCATAACCGGCCGAGTCGCTCTTTGGAGCGTGGAGCAAAACACCACCGAGAAGTTCGGAAGATCTCTTCAGCGGCCGAGACGCTTTGTGGAAACACCAAACGTCTATCCCTATAGCTTCTTGTTTCTAATAGCAACCATTGTATAGTAGTACGGCCAGGAGCCCCTAGTAGCTTGTTCCTAGTAACGATGCCAGGAGCCCCGTTCGTAGCGTCCTTGCTCCTACTGGCCATGTCCTATAAGCTATAGGCCTCCAGTCGTACCGAAGCGTTTCGTTTCGGACGACCCAACCGGCCCGGGTGGTAGGACCCAGGGTCCAGTCCCGAAGCCCGAAGCCTTCGATCTCTTGTTCACGCCATCGAGCGGTCCAAAAGCACCCGGTGTGAATCGATGAGTTTGGATCACGGGGGCTTCCAGTCTCATTGGCAAGCTGTAGAGTTCCACGTATACCAAGCTTGGCGTATACCATATAGCTGTAGAGTTTCACACCAAGTGTTGGGTCCAAAGGATCCACAGCCAGCGAAAGCGAACGAAAGCAACCAGCGATGTCGAAGCTAATCAAACCCCGCGGTGTTTGATCTATTTGATGGTCTCGAACAACTGAATCAATCCACAGGAAGCAAGCATCGCTTCGCGAACCTTGACCAGTCATTGGCCCTCTGAACATTGAGACCTGCGGCTGAGTAGCTGCAGAAAGGCTCGCTGTAAAGATGAAGGGTGCCACAGGGAGTTCCTGGGAGGAGTTCGCTGGCAACTTCCACACTTCCGGGTGGATGAGGATGCTAGTTTTCTCAGCGGCTTCCAAGAATGCCCGGTCCACGACCTGCAGCAACAACTTGATCAAAAGATATCAGATCGAGTATGATTTCCCAATGGTCGATTTACACTGCTTGGTGCCATGCAAGTGGAACAGTTCGGCCCCTGGAAGACTCTGTTCCTCTACATTCCTCTACATTCGAGGGTCCTGGTCAGCTGCCATGATTGGAGGTATGGACTCTGGATGATGAAATGGGCCTCCAGACCTCTCCTACCAACAGAGGTTGAAGGAGCTTATAGGCTATCCCAGTTCGGTAGCCCTGGTGACGGGTCCTAGTTCAGGTCACTTAACCTCTCTTGGTATGGCCATGGCCGACAGTGTTTCGGCCTGGGTCATTCCACCACCCTCCCCACTTCCACCCAGTTGCCGTCTCATAGAGCAACGGTCCTCAAGCGTCGGCGAGCAGGCGGAGAGCGTCTTCTGTACGGTGACCAAACGACCCGGAGCCCCTGGTATTTGTGACCCACACACCAGGCCGGGCCGAAAGTAAACGAACCTACTGCTGTATCTATAAGGGGATCAAATGACCTTTCCACGATCTGAAGAACCATATAGACCATAGATCCACAGAATATGTAAACACACACACACACACACATCTGCCACCCAAGGAACTCGCTGACAGTCTGCCCATTGCGACCTCATGCGTCCTCCCCCACACCAAAACCTACACCTCCAACACCTGAGGAAACCCAATCCACAAGGCGGGTTGTTTGTAGACCGTCCGACGGTCCGACGACCGGGTCCAAACACACACGCTCCAGATCGACTTGGCGCTCAGCGGCCCAACAAGCAGGAGACAATGGCTCCAAAGGATTCCAGGTTTCGCGACCAGTTCTGCACAGAGACCTGCGAGCTTCGACTCAGAGACCTGCCCGCTTCGACCCGAGTAGGAGTATCGGAGACGAGAACTCGCCCACCATGTAAGTTCGGCTCAGAACCATTGGTTTCACGGATTTTACACGACACAACCAGTGTCTTTCTCATGTTTTTTGAGTGGCCGAACGGAAGGCGACCGGGTCCGTTTTATGTTGGATTCGACCCGGGTCCGGGGGAAATCAACGGCCAACGGTTGGATCTCTTTGTCCGTGAAACCAACGGCCATGTGACGGGGAAATGGTGGTGAAGATCCCCGCCGTGAAATCATCAATAAAGACTCATGAGTGAAGCTTGACACCGTTTTCTACAAATATTAAATCGTGTTGCAGTGCGGCTTCTAGTGAGGAAAGCTACGGGCAACATAAGGCTTTCGATGACCGATAGCATTTTTCAGGATCGTAGAGGCTACATAGAACTTGGTCCGCAGATGTGACTGATCCGGGATCAACCTTGGCAACTTCGGAAAGATTCGAGGCCATCGCTCCAATAGGTTGGAGGCCATCGCTGTTGGAAACAAAGAAAGAAGGAAGGAGGAAAACTGGGATCAAGATTCCAGGTTCGCCAAGTGGCAAAGACGCTGGGGTCGCCCATGGTGTAAGCGAGGCTCAATTCCTTAGCGTTCGGCGGCGTTCCCTGTCGACGGAGACATTTTGGAGCTCCCTTGAACAAAAAAACAGGTGCTGTTTTGACAAACCCACACGTCAAAGTGATCTTGTCGAAGCTCCGGCTGCTTGAACAACATTGCCATTCGCAGGATTTCGGGCTGTGTTTTTATCCCTTTTCTTTATTAGGAACTTTTCTCACAAAGCAAACCGGATCACTCCATGTATGCCATACTTATGCCGCCCAATCAACCACACCGGGAGAAAAAACACCCCTGGAAGTGATAGGACGAAAAAACAGTCCCACCAGTCATGTGGCTCCGGGGCCTATGGTTGACCACTCATATAATGAACGGAATAGACTAGCTGACCAACCGACCAGGGTTTTCGTATGATGGCACCAGTCATGTCGATGAGGCCATTGGTGCCAGTGACAACTCCATGGCATGTTGTGTCAATGATGGATTTGCAACGAGTCACTGAGTGCGCTAATTACTTGGGGTTGCTGTCCAGGAACAGGAACATAAACATATTCCTCAGATTCGGGGATTCACCCATAGGGAAAATTAAAAATCCTCCTAAGCAAAACCAGGGTTAACCGACCCTCTCTCTTCCCCGCTGCTGAAGGGCCAAACAGGCACTTATAGAGTCCGAATAAGGCCTGGTAGATCCCAGTAGTAGAGGGTAGTGTGGGGGGATGTGTTGGAATCTAGTAGATTGCAAGTTGCACCTCTCTTCAACCCTGCGGATTTGCTGTCCAGGAACCGGGTCAGAAATACCAAACATTCCCCGACAATTTACCGGAAAATCACAAATCACCTGATGCACATAACCAGGAATATCTAGCCCCCTCCAGTGAGAGAGGAGACGTTGGTTCCCTATAAAATGCAGCTTGGATCCCTCCCTGCTCCCACGTGTTTTTGCCCCCACTCTTTTGGATCTTTTGGATCTCTGGTCCCCATGTGAAACCGTGTGGGGGCAGCTGACTAGTAGGCAGCTGCCACCACAAACGACGCTCAGGGCAATTCCAAAGCCTGGCCTAGCGCATACGGGACATAGGGCAAAACCTCAAAAGTCTCAAAAACAACATCACCCTGTTTCTTTTAGCGGGATTATCGGATAGACATTTTTGGGTGGGGTTGGGCACTCCATGAAAGTCATGAAAAATGTTGAATGCCCATGAACTGGCATGTATGGTTGAGCCTGCGAAGGCCAACGTGGCGGAGGTCGTGGGTGGAGTGTGTTCAGCTTAACTCGAAAATATATAGGGATCCAACCTGCTCAGTTTCGTGAGGGCAAACTGTAGATGTGCCGATGTTACCAAATCACAAAATGAGGTTGGAGAAAAGGGTGCGTCCCAATACCAGTGACAGCCTATAAAAAATCATCACTATGTTTTGGGAAAATATCGCAATCAATCTTCCATTGTTACTGGTCATGGCATATAATGCTACGCCCAACGTTTGTAACAGAACGTGTGCAAGCCAGCAAAAACCAATCGTGCGCTGCATGTAAAACATCATAACATGTTGATAGTATAGTATTGTATTAAACCATCTTTCAGCACTGACATCTCTTTTCGTGACTGACAAACCTGGAACCCTGACTGCTGATCTGCAAGCCTGTTGCAGCTCCATGGCATGTTGTAGGATGCTCTCAATCTGTCCCCGCCTGAGCTTCATCGATTCATCCACCGTTGTGGGGGTGACGAGAAGAACTCTCGGACCTGCTGCTGCCGCACACCCCGAAGTCTCGGAAACTTTGCGTCAAACCGAGTTTTGCAAGCTACCGGATGTCCCATCGTGAGACTGGAGGCCGGCAGTCTACAGCAGGGTGTGGAGACTTGCTGGGGCTCCGGCCCCTCACTTTGAAGATGTGGCCTGCCGGTCACGGAACAATCGGCTGTTTTCTCTCTCGTTCTTCCGAAAAATATGTAATCAGTTCTCAAAAATCTGAAAACACCCCAAACATCAAGTCAGTGGCACTGAGAATGGCTTCATGGATCTGCGTGACCTTCCACCTCTTCGCTTTGCTCCTTTACTCTTTGGGCGTCGAACCAGGGTGGCTGATCGAACCCACCCTGGCTTTATCCTCCAGGAACGTGGGCCTTGCACCCCAAATGATTGGATCTTCCATGAGGTGTCACTTTTCAACATGACTCCTGCGCACACTTCCAAACAATGTGAAACAACCAAATTGATCTGACACAACTTCGGGCTGCCAATTCTCGAACGATTTTTGCGCCTCGTCACCTGCCATGCGTTGGCGGTCACTGTGGCAGCCAACAAGGTGCCTGAGATGACATCAACTAGAGAGGTTCAATGTGGCTGAGCAGCCCCATGCTATCGACGAATGACCCACATGTGCCACTAATTCGGGTCCCAGTTCAGGTCTCAGCCGCTCTTGGGAAACATGAAAAGTTCTGTCAATGAGTTCTAGTCTTTTCAGAGGTACCAAAAGTCAACCTGCGAACCAACACCTATCGTAGCTATGTTCGTTGACATCTGTCAACCCATGTCAATGACAAATTGCGGGCGCATTGTTGGGTAGCATCTCTCTATACCCCATGTGATCACCCAGCAAATCCCCTGGATCCGTGGTGACACAGCCTCAACGGCAGGAGGAGTGCCTGAAGTGGTCCATGTGTGCACCTGGTGCTTCGCAAAAACTAAAGATACTGAAGGCCCATGGCAAGCTTCGCCTGTATTTCTCTGGCCGCCTCGTCTGCTTCCAGCGAAGCCTCTTGCGTCTCTGAGATGAGCTTGCGGAGGTTATGATGGCAGCCTTGAAGGTTCTGCTGGTACACTTGATGTGAGCCGCCAAATCACTCACAGTGTCTTTCACAAAGTCGCCCATTGCTGAGATGTTTGGCTCCACAGTGTCTTCCAATGTCTTCCACAACGCGCCTGCCTTCAACGCGCCTGTCAAGGTTTTGGTCCTTGAGGCTGTCAGGGTTTTGGTCCTGCGCCATCCATGGGCTCAACTTCATCCCTTTGGAGGCTGGCAAAGCTGATGTTGCAACTGCAACCTGACAGCGTGCAATAGACGATGTCCTTAACTTCAGATGCATGCGCTGCGGTTTTGACCATGATCACGACGTCTCTCGGAAGCCCTTCTTTGTCCGAGCAACTCCAAAGGTCTTGGCACGCAAGCAGGACGATGGTGTACAGCTCGACCTGGTAAGCATTGCACCATCAGTTGACAGCCAGAGCTCAGCTGCCTTGACCACACGTCGAAGTGGGTCCCGAGCATCGCCTGCGCCGCGTGAAGGGCCGCTCCCATCTGCAAAGATGGTTTCGGATTTTGCGGTAAGGCCCCAAGCCAATGCCGTAGAAGTGCCCATGGACAGATGCACTATGATGCACTGACAGCTGCATTTGCACGCCAGGCTTTGGCGCCCATTGCGCCTTGTCGTTGATGTGACTAGCGTCCTCATTGCAGGCCATAGCGTGGTTGTCCCTGCGCATGCAGTCGATGCATGTCACAGCACCACCATGACCACTGGCCCATCGCCGGTCCATAAAGAGCCACGGCGCACCATTCCTGTCCATCCATCCCATTCCTGTGCCAAGCATTGATTCAACGCGCCTGCCTGCCTTCCATGCGCCTGCCTTCAAAGCGCCTGCCTTCAACGCGCCTGCCTTCAACGCGCCTGCCTTCCGGGCCTGCCTTCAACGCGCCTGCCTTCCACGCGCCTGCCTTCAACGCGCCTGCCTTCAACTTGAGCCACTTGAGCCACTTGGTCCAAAATGCTATGTCTGTCTGTCTGTCTGTCTGTCTAGTCTGTCTAGTCTGTCTATGTCTGTCTTCTCTATTCCTTCCTGCTCCTGTGATGGGTGGTGGGATGCCCATGAAAATGATCCTTTCCTGGATGATCACCAACCACCACCTGTGCCAAGTGCAATGCGGGGGTTCAACCAAAAAATCAATAAACATCAAACAAAAATCATTTTTTCAATCAGCATAGGGATATCCCAGGCATCTTGGCACGAAAGGAAGACCACCAATAAAAAACATTAAGCCATCCCATTCTCAAAACTTGGTCAAGTCTAACCTTGACCAATTCCCCAAAGGGGGCCCATCTAGACCTCTGAATGCAGCTGGTGCGACACTGCAATCAGTGTTACACGCCGGTTTGGGGGCTCACCTAGCTACTGGGTCTGCCAAACTTAAATATGGAGAGGCCTGAACACAGTTAGAAAAACAAAGAATTCACCCACAAAAGTCAACCCCAACTACAGGCCTCTCCCAGGTCAAGATGTTTTGGACCAGGTGGGTCCCACGTGAGCATCGCGAAGCCCACCCCACCCTCCCTGGAGGTGCCAAAACAACAGAATTGCTTCTCAAAATGCAATTCGTTTTTTCTTATTAAGCCTAGTTTCAATTGGCAGACCCATTTTTTGTTTCAACAAAAACTGCACCACCACCACCACCACCACCATTAAATTAACCCCCCATGATGGATGATGCAAGAGGAGGAGCAGGAAAGCACAGGATGGGATAGATAGATAGGTAGATCGATCGATCGATAGGACCTTAGGAACCTTGGTTTGGTCTTCAACCCTGGTCTAGTGGTTTGGCCTGTTGGAGTCTGAACCGGTCCGGGGAACATGTCCGGGAGAGTATTTCTCATGGTAAATGTATTTCAATGTATTTCAGCAAGCAAAGCGCACATTTTCATCGAAGCTCAAACAATTGTAACTAGGAATCCATAGGTGTGGAACATTGTGGAACGATGGGTATGGAACAGCGAACAAACATGTGGTTCCACAGGTATGGAACGGGGTATGGAATGAGATGTTCAAGAGTACATGTATGTACAGTACATGTATTTCAATATATTTCAATGTATTTCAGCCAGCAAAGCGCACGTTTTGATTGAACCTCGAACAATTGTAAACTAGGAATCCATAGGTATGGAACGATGGGTATGGAACAGTGAACAAACATGTTGTTCCACAGGTATGGAACAGGGTATGGAATGAGATGTTCAAGAGTACATGTTCCATACCAAACTGTTTTGACTCATGGCCATGTCATGACCCCCTCCCCCCATCGCGCGAAACTCCCGCCTCCACCCACTTAAGGGTCTCCCCCCCAACGACTCGACAAGGGCCCAAAAAGAGGAATCCTGGAGGTCTTGAACATAAAAAAATAAAAGGAAGGCCCAATCACGACATTGACAACACATGTTGGGAGTTGCCTGCATATCATAAGCCTGCCGGCCCAACCGGCCCCTCGTTCGAATCGATCGAGTCCAAAGGTCTTGCAATGTTCACGAACAACATGAGCCGACTGCCTCTCTGTAGTGAAGACCATAGGGGCGATGGCCAGGAAGGTTGAACGCTTGCTTCTCTATTGTTGATAACAAACATCACACTCCTCTGGTCAAACAGGGCACACGCTCCTATATAATAGGGGGGGTCAACCCCACCTGATTCATAGGAAGTCACTGGAGGGGGGTAATATCTCATCTTCATATTTGGGTGGTTGTTTTCAATAACGATCAGGATCAAGATCGACCGGTTTTTCTTACCTTCCACAGTGTTGTCTTCGGCAGTCTGGCCAAGGCTCAGTTGCTGTCTTGGAGGAGAAGGAGTAGAGACTACCTGATCAAAGGTTCACTACAAGATCCAAATGGTTGAAGATGGTTGAAGCAAAATTTGTAGGGTTCTGTATATCCCAGGTGTTGCCAAGGTCTTTCTGCCTTCAGCCATCAAGCCTGAGATCAAATCCCATATACTCACATCGCAGGCAACTGTCGAAGACACGTCGGGCAGGAAAACTGAAGAGCAGTCTCATTTGAGAATCCCATACCTCCTGAGATTCGGTGGTTGGGGTAGGTTTTGGGGGTCAAACTACCTCCTGAGGATGTGGGCCAGGAGCCCTATAATAGGGCCTAATCAATGTCTCCGCGGGTTTGTTTTGTGGACAATGTGCAGTTTGTCACACATCCATCGGCTCGGCACCACCCCCCCCCAGTGCATCAGAGACTACTCATCAGAATCAGCGCTGTGACTGGCAAAGGTGTCCATGGAGCTGTCATAGCTCCATTCAGACAAACCTCACGATCAGCGCGTGGCACCCGGGGGTGAACGAATGGATCCGTCCGAAGAAGGCGATCGAAAACCGAATGAACTCGAGAACCGAACGAGAACGACGGAGAAACCAATGCCCAAAATATCGGTGGATGTTCCTTGCCGGTGATGGCGCCGCAACTCCGGGGGCTTGGCTAGGAGACTAACGAACGAAGAACTCACTATAGGCATCTCACTAAAAAAACAACATCTCTGCAGAATCTCTGGTCTCCTCTGTCAGAAGAACGAATCCGAGCCTTGATTTTGAAACAGCTGAGATCCAACTGCTCGTGATTACGTGATTTCAACTGCTCTTTCCAATCCACGTCGTGCGAACTCTTTTCACAGTCCGAATCATGAACTTCCGTCAATTGCTGTGAACAGGAATTCACCCATTGGAGGATCCTTTCCGGTGAACCCCCTGCCCCGGAACTTGAACCGGATGAAGATTGGGCCCAAAATTACAGGACATTCACAGGACATTCACTGCACAGGAAGAATCTACAGTCTTAGAAATTCGTGAGACTTCAGTCTTGGAAATCGGGCATGCTGCCTGCGGCAGTCGCCCCATCTCGACAGGACATCCGCTATGCAGCAGCGGCGCGGCTCGTGGATTCACCGTTTTGAGGGTCCGCCCACCTCTCGAAGGACCGACCAAGCCCAGCAGCCCAAAGAAGCAGAAAACAGCTCATGTTGTACGGCATCGATGGCAATCGGTCACAACACCGTCTCCAAAACGACCGCTTCACCTGCGACGGATGAAAACGTGTCCAAACAAATGGCAACTTTGGATCGCTTCGGAGAGATTAACCCATGTGTCTTGGATTTGCTGTCCATGTGGTAGAGGATTCACCTATTGAGAAAATAACATTCACCCTAAGTAAGCCACGGTTTTCTTCAGGCCTAGAATGTGCTGAGCCCACGCTGTTCATCTCTTTGATGGGGGTCCCTTGGCTAAAGGCACGCACGAAAAGAAATGCGCACTGATGTGAATGCGGTTGCCACACGCCGGCCTAAGTGAAAAACCTAAGGATACATGGTGAGTATGTGTAAAGCAAGCGTCCATAAAACTGCAAAAGCCTCCAAAGCTCTCAAAAGATCCAAAGTGCAGCGTCGATGCACTAGCTCTTTACAGCACTAGAATATTACTGCAAAACACCGAAGTGGAACAGTTTGTCCATTAAGTAGGTTAGGTACGTCAATCTGGCGTCCCGGATTGATTTCACAGACCAGGGCAAGCGTCTTTGTTAGTGCCAGACTTGCACGGTCCCTGGCACCCCCTGCTGAAAGTTCAAGAAAACAATCCAAAAGGAACCTCATGACTCCAGAAAGGACACACACATCTAAATTTGCATGACTGGTCAAAGAGTATGAATCCAGAACTGTCATGTCCGATGTCCGTACTTGGGCAGAATAGGGTCTAAACTTGGTACCGTATACCATCATGTACCTTGTATCCTATTACCAGTAACAGTGGATGATGGTTAGTAAAGGCCTTGTTCAAAAGATAGTGATGTGCTTGTTTACTGACCGTTACAGGTAATAGGACTAACCCAACATATGATATATACAGATTAAGATCATTTGATGTTAATTAACATATTATACATTATATACATAGATATTGTATTGCCTGTATTGCTTGTAGACATGGGGCCCCATGCCTCTGGAGATGTTTCCCCAAATTGTTGTCGTCTTAGTTGTGGCCCAGTTGTGGCACCTAAAGTCTATATATTACTATTGAAAGTCTATTGATATATACATAAAGCCATTTGCGATTGCCGACGGCATAAGCCTGTGACGCGCAGTGCACTTAATTACGAATTAAATCATGGCCCCCAAGAGATATGCACCAATCGGCGAATCGGGCTACTTCGGGCCTTGCAGCCTACTCCTCCAGAATGGAGCACTGCAAAAACAAAACCACGCCAAAAGCTCGTAAAGAGCAGGCATGAAAGTTAATTAAGAAATATTAAGAAGCACTTTGCGAGTGGGCAAGGTTTCAAGCCAAATTCTACCTACTACATATCCTTCTTCCAGCCCACCCAGGTGTTCCTCCAGGGCCTAGCTGGGGGCTATCCTCGGGTGAAAAGGCCTAAGCTACATTGGCTGCAGCCTTCAGCACTTGAGCTGCAAGCTGCAATTTTGCCAGGCAAGTTGCTTTTCCTTGCCATTCTCATCTTTCAAGTCGTAGGTATCAGCATTGAAGCTGAAAACGGCCACTTTTCCAAGAAAGCTCCTGGCTGCCTGGCCATTCTCGTGCTTCAAGTCGTAGGTATCAGCATTGAAGC